ACGTTGTCTTATTACTCTCTGGAAGGAAGCTTGGGGAGGTTTGTGGAACACATTCAGCTGTGTGGCTTTCCTTGATTTAGAGTTTAATGGCATGAGATAAGGCTTAGTTTCAGATTGCTTCATTCAGATCTACATTTCCGCCTTGAAATCCTCAGGCAACAGTGGTTCTCTTTTGTCATGGCAAGCACGGACTGTCCTCACTAGAGTGAGCTGGTTCTTAAGCGGGGGATAACAGAGCTCCCAGTAAGCTGAGAACAGCCCAGAAAAGTGTTTTTAGAGGGTTGTTATGGTGGTGCAGGGGTTAAACATTGGCTGTTAAGCGAAAGGCTAGCTCCAAGGGAGAAAGGTGTGGCAATCTGCTTCCAGAGAGAGTTACCACTCCGGAAACCCCACGGGGCAGCTCTGCTCTGGCCTGTTCGGGTCACTCTGAATTGGCACCGGCCAGACAGCAGTAGGTTTATGTTATGACTTGGCCACCCTCGGAAGGCTCGAACTCTCAGTAAAAAGTAAAGGGTATGTTTTCATTCAGGACTCAGGAAGAAATAACAGTTGACTCCCTGGAGCCCCGAAAAGACAACAGAGCATTCGTTCTCTGGCCGGCCCTGAGAAGGGGCATCAATCCGCCCTCATAGACCGTGCCTGCTTGTGGGAGCCCTGCCACTCACAGGGGCCCATTGTGCGAAGAGGAAAGAAGGAGTGAGGCCCAGGTGCCAGCCAATGGGCTAAGAAGGAAACCCTTAAGCAAGGGCCCTTAATTTTTATACAGCTAGCCCAGAAGCATATTTTATAACCACCTCATAAGAGTTAGGCCTCCTTCTGGCTGCAGACTTTGTGTAGTGCCCTGGGAGCCGCTGCCGGGGAAAGCCAGAGCCTGTCAGCGACCTTAAAAGCATACCGAGGGTTGGCTGAAGGCAGGGAGTCTATTGTTCATTGCAACATCTGCTGGCAAGATAATACACTGTATTACAAGCTTTTGAAAAAACCATCTTCTCTCAGCGATTAACCCATAGGAAAATCACCCCCTAACCCCTGCCCACCCTTAGAGGTGCTTTAAACCCTGGCCTCTTTTGCATCAAGGGCTTTGGCTATATCCAATTGGGTTGAGAGGCTATGCAGAAATTTCTTTCACAGATGTTTGAGAACATAGTTGAATTGCTTTTTGGCAGGCATTGTGCTTCTTACTTCAGTTCTCCTTTATGTGAAAATGTATCTCACTTGTCTTGGGAGTACAAGGCTTTCTCTGGACAGGGCAGGATTGATCAGGTGCAGAAGCAAGAGTGAACCAGATGCTGGGGGATAGTGGTTTGGCAGGGGTGCTGGGTACGTAGGGCCTGTGGAACCAAGTGGGTCTCTCAGAAGGTGGTTTGTCTAGAGTTTGGGGGCTGGTCAGTTTGGGAGTATGACGTCATATTGCTGCAGGGTCTCTAGTGAAGGGTTATTCTCAAGCCTTTGTTAATGAAACCTTTTATGAAACGAAATCCTACCAGGCAACTCAGGATCATAAAGCCAATCTGTATTAGTGAGAGTAGAAATCCCAGGAACCCCACTTACTTGTGCTCACACCCCTTTCCCTTCCAAGCCCCTCACCTCTGGAGCCCCTCAATATGCTCCTCTTGAACTCCATGGCTGCTTAAAACACAGCTTGAAAACCAGGGAGATAACCCAAGCCCCTCAAGACAATAGACGTGAAAGCTGAAGTCCAGGGTCAGGACATATGACCAGGGTTTCTGGTCCCTCGTCAGTTCTTAGATTTTCGTTGCTGCCCTTTTCCATCAGTGTTAGAACTTCGGGCTCAAAAGAGGGGCTGATGTGGCAGGCCAGACCCATAGAGCTGGATGGGCTGGTAACGGGATCAAAAATGCTTCAGAGTTGAATCATCAGTGCTCTCCCCTTATGCACCCCTAATTGGATTTGGTGGATCCCCTCATTATAGTGTTGGCAAAGATTATTGAAAGTATCGTGGACTGCCAGATGAACAAACAACAATGTCTGAGAGGAGGTACAGCCAGACCACTCCTTAAAAACAAGGACAATAGCACTTGGACTGGGCATGTTATCGGGGAGAATATTCCCTGAACAAGGTCACCGTGTGGGGTAGAGAGATATCAGCAAGGAGGAAGACCCTCCTCGAGATGTATTGACACAGTGACTACAGCGCTGCGATCAGACGGAGGAAGGATGCAGCAGGAGCAGGCAGTGCTGTATTCTGTTGTACATGAGGTTGCTGTGAGCCAGTTACCTTGGCAGCACCTAACAGCCACCACCACCACCACCACCACATTTTATTGACATAGACAATCAATGCGAATGCTCTTGGGGGAATGAGAAACACCAGTGAATGTAGGCCAGCAATGGGACTTTTAGTTGCAATAGTGCAAATTTGTTTTTTAGCTTAAAAAGTTTGGGAATTGTAGATAATCTGGCCATTGTTGGCAGCTGGAAGTTCCAGGCACCCCCCCAAGCGACTGTGTTCCTGTGTCTTGGATAGGTTTTAATGAAGCCTGGGAACAGCCCCAGCAAGGCCGTTGTTTAAAACTGAAAACACCCAAGATCTCATATCTCTCATGCCTCTGTGTAGAGTTTGGGGGCTAGTCCTCCTTTATGTGAAAACGTATCTCACTTGTATCCTCACCAATTTTCTAAAGACCGATTTCAAAGGGGAGAGGAGGCCTGCTTGGCCGAGACGGTCGTGTTTGACTGGCTGATGGGGATGGTCCAGATGTGAGCATCTGAGCTAAGATGGCTTGCTTTGATGTGGGACACAACTTTTACTAATCTTCCCAACATATCTCTCCCACTTCCTGTGGGATTGCAGTAGTGTACACTTGTTTAATGATTGCTCGAGTATGTAATATAGAAACAAATGTGAATCTGGTCTGCATGCTCCCTCTCCGTCAGCAGAAATGAAGTGGGGTTCTGGAGCCCCATCTGGTTCCTGTGGAACAATGTCAGCAAATGCCACCCTGTACTTGCTCATTGAGATGGGCAGCAAGCAGTCTAAATCTTACATAGAAGCTGCGCCGGTACTGGTGACACAGAACCGAGGCAACGGACCCTTTCTGGTTCATTCGGTGGATAGGGACCCTGGTCAGCCAGGTCACCTTTCAGGGCTTCCCTGAGCTGGCCTCTACATGGGTGACATACCGTATCACACATTTGGACTCTTGAACTAAATTCAGAGCAGCTGTAAATTAGCAGATATTTAAATCCATTACTTTTGAAGATTAAAGGTCTTTCTGTGTTTCATAGTCCACATGTTCTCAACATGGATTTGTCTGTTGACAGAATGAAGGATTTCTAAAGAAACCCATATATCCAAGCCTTTTAAAAGGGTTAGTTCTGTCTGCTGCACCAGTACCATGATTTTTGGGAATGATCTTGATACAGCTTTACATATTCCAAATTTGGCAGCATCTCTCTTTTGTTGTTAACCATATCTAATGAACTTGTCCTTTCCTCCATCATATAAAACCCATTTTCTAGGCTGAGTTGTTTGGGAAGGGCCAGCTCGCTCTCCATAGTGTCTGCAGGTTCGACTCTGCACACCCTCTGGTGTTGTTACTTCCTGGTGGTGTTTGAACTTTGCCGTCACTGCCCGCGCAAGATGGTATCTCATCACCCTTTCGATTTGTCTCTCTCTGATGATGAGTGATAGCCACATTTCTTTAGGTTTGTTGGCCGCTTCATTGGTGGACTCTCTGTTCACATCCTCTGTCTACTTTTTAATTGAATTATTCATCTTGTTCTTGTTGAGGTACTGCAGTTTTCTGTAGATATTTGAGATTAGTCCCTTGTTGAATGTATCATTGTCGAGAAAATTTTCCCCGGTCTTTGAATTTCTGTGAGTACTTTCCAAACTACAAGTTCCTGGTGCCATCAAGAGTTGTTCTTGTTCAGGATGATTCAGTTTAGATCCCAGGTGTCTGTTGGTTTTAGAAGTTCCTCTCCTGGGACTGATAGTTACCATTATTTTTCATTGATGTAGTTGCCACTTCTATATCAGTGAATACCTAGTGGTTCCCTCCCTGCCACTGAGTCAATGCTGACTAATAGCTACCCCTGTGGAATTCCAAGACTGTAATTGTTACCGGAGTAGAAAGTCCAGCACCAATCTGTCTCCCACCATATCCCATATCTAAGGTGACCAAACGTCCCGCTTTTGGTGGGACAGTCCCAATTATAAATTTTCCCACGTCCCGCGGCGTTTTTTAAAAGTCCCAATTTTTGGAAAGAATGCACGACAAGCTAGGATATATGGTTTTCGGCTGCCATGTGGCTATTTCGCCAGGATATGAGTTTTATCAATGGTGTCCCGCTTTACCAATGTTAAAATCTGGTCACCTTACCCATATCCAATATCCAAGAAGATTTCTCTTCCTTTCTCTTCTGCTACTGCCATCTCTCCAGACAACTGGCAGTAACCATGTTCCTAAGAAACACATTCCTATGTTAGAATTTCTCAGAGAGCGCTCTCGCTCCAATGCAGCGATTTCCAAACGCATCCCTTCAAACACAAGATGTGACGGATGTCCGTGGGGAGGGGAGCTGGCCTGAACTCTCTTACAACTCCTTCAATGAAACTTTCGTTCCCAGAAACCTGTCTGTTCTCTAAGAGTAATCCAATGGCTGTTTAGCAAACTCTGTCCTTTACCCATATGTGTTTGGATAGGTCTGTCCTTTACCCGTATGTGTTTCCATAGGTCTGTGCTCCATTAGAGTCTTCAGTGGCTGAGTTTGGAAGAAGACCACCTTTGTTTCCAGGGCAACTCTGGGTGGACTTGCAGCTCCAATCTTTTAGTTGACAGCTGAGCACGTTAACCTTTTGAGCCACCCAGGTACTCTTCTATACTCCTACCTGTTGAGTCATTCGGCATAGTGGGTTACGTATCGGGGGCTGCTAACCTTAAGGTTGGTGGTTCAAACCCACCAGCCACACTGCAGGATAAAGCTGAAGCTGTCTGCTCTTCTAAAGATTCACAGACTCACAAACACCATGGGCTCTGACTCAGATTCCCCTGGGAGGTCACTCTCCCCACACTCTGTCCAGGTGGCATCGTGGAGCACAGGGCTCTGCCCCATCATGTTCAGTCCCTTTCCCCAACGTCGGGGATAAAGTGTGGCCTTGAGTCTGCGCCTGCATGTGCTTCCAGCTTCTCACAGTACTGTGGACAATGACTGAGGAGACACACCCTGCCGGAAACAGCCTTCTAAGACAGCTCCATCTGAATCTAGGTTCCATCGTTCTGTGATGGTTAGACCTCGGAAACAAAACAACACCGTGGAGCAGTTTTCTGCCCTATGGGGTCACTCTCTGAATGATAGTCTCTAGAGGAGCCTTAAAAGATTGGTGCCTGCTGAATAAGCAAATGTGGTGAAGAAAGCTGATGGTGCCCAGCTATCAAAGATATAGTGTCTGGGCTCTTAAAGGCTTGAAGGTAAGTGGCCATCTAACTCAGAAGCAACAAAACCCATATGGAAGAAGCACACTAGCCTACGTGATCATGAGGTGCCAAAGGGATCAGTTATCAGGCATCATCAGAACAAAAAATCATATAATTGTGTGTTCACCTCCCTGATACGAACACTGAAGACAAATGGGTGCATAAGCAAATGTGGCGAAGAGACTATCAAAAGATAGAGCGTCTGGGGTCTTAAAGGCTTGAAGGTAAACAACCAGCCATCTAGCTCAGAAGCAACAAAGCCCACATGGAAGAAGCACACCAGCCTGTGCGACCACAAGGTGCCGAAGGGATCAGGTATCAGACATCATCAGAACAAAAAATCATATCATCGTGAATGAGGAGGGGAGTGCGGAGTGGAGACCCAAAATCCATTTGTAGGCCACTGGACATACCTTTACAGAAGGGTCGAGGGGAGGAGACGAGCCAGTCAGGGTGCGATGTAGCAACGATGAAAAATACAACTTTCCTCTAGTTCCTAAATGCCCCCCCCCCCATTATCATGATCCCAATTCTACCTTACAAATCTGGCTAGACCAGAGGATGTACACTGGTACAGATAAGAACTAGAAACACAAGGAATCCAGGGCGGATGATCCCTTCAGGACCAATGGTGTGAGTGAAATACTGGGAGGGTGGAGCAAGGGTGGGTTGGAAAGGGGGAGCCGATTACAAGGATCTACATATAACCTCCTCCCTGGGGGACGTACAACAGAAAAGCGAGTGAAGGGAGACGTCGAACAGGGGAAGATATGACAAAATAATAACTTATAAATTATCGAGGGTTCATGAGGGAGGGGGGAGGGAGAGGAAAAAATGAGGAGCTGATGCCAGGGGCTTAGGTGGAGAGCAAATGTTTTGAGAATGATGAGAGCAATGAATATACAAATGTGCTTGACACAATGGATGTATGTATGGATTGTGATAAGAGTTGTATGAGCTCTTAATAAAATGATGTAAAAAAAAAAAAGTTTGGTGCCAAGGGCCTGGCTGGGACTGGAGTTAAGATACAGTGTCTCCTTACACTTGTAGTCTTGGCCTTTATGAAGTATCAGAATGATGGCCCTGACTTCCTAGCTTACCTGGCCTACACACTCAGACTCACTAGGGCAGGGGGAGAATGCATTGTAAGACGACTCTTTAGAATCTCCTTGATCCTCCTCCCCTTCCTCTCCACTGGACCCATGTTGTTCCCCTGCATCTCCACTAACTTTTTAATTCAAAAATATCTAAAGAAGTAGGGAGTCGTCATTGGAATACACTGACCTCTGATCAAGGAAGTCGCTGTACCAGTACCAGGCTGCTGTTCCCTTAACACTCTCAACCGCTGAGTGAGGCACACCGAGGACGATCCTGGGTGCTCCCCTTCAGTGCTCTACTGCTTCTTGTCACACCCTCAAGCATGATGGGGAGAGTGTTGTCAAGTATGTTTTGACAGGATTTACTCACGCAACGCCACTAGTAAGGAGAACTTAACAGTTGCGCTAAGCATTGTTCTAGGTGTTAAGAATATAGCAGCAACAAAAGAGACAATTCCTTCATGGGACTTTCTCCTCACCAAAAGATATATATGCTCACTTAACATGCAACTCAATGGCGTTATTTAACAGGACTGAATGACGTCATAGCATTATGAAGTATCCCCTGAGGAGAATTCTTCGGGAACAGCATGAGTGTCCCTAAGATCGCAAATGGAATGCGGCAGTCTACCATGTGAAACCAGGGCTTGTGTCTTCCCAACCGCGTTTGCTGTCCGTGGGTGTTCAGACACCTCTCTAGAGGCAGAATGAAGGAATAAGCCTGTGGGAGTGCGACTTTGCTCTGTAGAAGGGCATTGCTAGAATTAAACTTTGTTCCTTGCATTGTGACCGTGAACTTCCACAGAAATGTTGGGCTTGGCAGCTCGAGCCCACCCCTTCCCCAGGAGCATGGGGCAGTCAGTTCGCTCCCGTGCAGATGTGCAGGGACTCTGTCCTGCGGGACCACTGGGAGTCGGAATCGACTCGACGACAGTGAGCTGACTACTTGATACACTGTCCTCGACTCTGTGTGGTTCTTGTCATTGTGGGGACTGTAGCCCCCAGGGCCACGGTGGCATCTTTACCCGTGCATGCAGTGGCATTAATTACGCCCATCGTACTGCACAACCGTCACCACTATGTGCTTTCATCTCCTGACTCTGTGCTTCTAATTCCATGTGTTTAACTTTACATACATGCAGATCTCCTGGAGCCTGGAAGTCCACAGTACTGTTTCTATTTATGTCACCAATTTAATCGGGTCATTACTCTGAGCTGAATGCGATATTACAAGTAACTGCAAATCTCTGTTTGAAATAACTTTCCAAAGTGGCTCATTCATACCTGTGTTGTAATTTCTGCACTAAAAGTATTTGATTCAGTTTGACAGAAATTTTGAATTTGCCTTTCTAGCAATTAAAATACTCAGTTCTTTAAAATGTTCAGCATGTTTGTTTAAAAAGTATGCCCGTAAAAAGGAAACGGGTCTTTTTTTGCCATTGGCTGCCTTCTGGGATTCCGAGTGTGTGCTAAAAGATCGGTGCGTCTGCAGAGGTAACCGATGAAAGAAAAAGATGTTTGAGATAGATTTCAAAATAGCAAGAGAAGATGCACAAGAGACTGGGGATCCATTTTGGCTTATGTTGCTATTTGCGAGTTAAGTAGCTTAGAAAAGAAGTAAATAGAAGATACTCTGGAAGTAATTATTAACGCTGACATTTCTGCATCTAATTTTGGAGTGCTTATGTTTGGAATTCCACATGCCCGATGAAATGTATGTTTCAGGTTTGCGTTGAAAAGCAGCGCTTTGAGAAGCTGATGGAACATTTCAGGAATGAAGACAATAACATAGATTTCATGGTGAGTTGTTTCAACATAGCAAACTCAGCAGTTTTTTCCTCACCCCTCTAGGTGTGTGTGTGTGTGTGTGTGTGTGTTACAAAGGACAGGAAATGGAATATTATATGCTATAGATCGAATGTAGACAGGCTTTCTTAATCTGTGTTTCCCCTTATGGCATTTATTTTCCTTTTTATTCCTTACATAGACACTTTACAGTCAAGTCTAGCAGTAGTGTTTGTATATAGCGAATGCAAGTGGAGGAAGGAAAAGGAAGTCCATAGGGGAGCCGCTCCGCAGTGGTCGTGTTAGCTGATGAGGGTGCTGCATGGGAGCCCTTAGGGGGTACAACCGAGAGCCTTACCACACACCTCATACAGGCTCCAGCCAGTGCCCTCCTCCTGACGACAGAGAACTGGCAGTAGGTGCACCAAGCTGAGGCAACCTTGGTGGTGCGGCGGTGAAGCTGCTAAGGAAAAGGGTTGCGTCAGCCTGGTGGTTCCGTGTGAGGCAGGGCCTGGCGGGCGGTCTGCTCTGCAAATCGTCCCCAGCCCACGGCCATTGCTGCTGAGTTATTGCCAGCTCACAGCGATGCTGGACCGGACAGAACTGCCCCGCAGGCTGTCTTTCCACAACTCGACAGACATCTTCATAGATCTCCCGGGGAGTGAGCAGATAGCACGCCTCTCCCCAACCAAGCAACAGATGGGTTCCCGCCGCTGACCTTTTCACGAGCAGGTGACGCTTAACCCCTGCTCTGCCAGGGCTCCTCTCACAAAGATGACAGCCTAGAAAATTCTGTGTGACAGTTTTGCTATGTCCTGTAGGGTTGTTAGGAGCCTCAGTGGTGTAGTGGTTGCGTGTCGGACTGCTAACCTCAAGGTCAGCAGTTTGAAACCATGAGCCGCCCTTAGAAAGCCAGGGCTTTTTGCTCCTATCCCGAATTGCAGTCTGAGAAGCTCACAGGGGCAGTTCTATCCTGTCCTGTAGGGTCACGGTGAATCGGCGTCAACCCAAGTGCAGTGAGGAGCTGGGAGCTGGGATCTACTCGGCGGTGCACAACGACAACATCCCCAGATTGACATGCAGCCGTGACTTTCCCCTGCGATCTCTTTCCTGTGCTAGTAATTTGGTGAGAGCACGATCAGACTGCAGATCTCCTAGGCTGGACGGCAATACTGTCCCCCGAAGGTTAAAAAATTTAAAAAGACCGCCAAATGAGTTTCAGGACTTCTAAATCCATACACCTAAATCCTAATTGTGGCCTGAAGACACATTGAAGGATTTTCTGAGATCTGCAGGCTTCCCTCCCTGGTTGCGTGGTGGGTCCATGTTGGGCTGCTACCCACAGGTCACCAGTTCAAAGCTACAAGCCACTCCATGGGAGAAAGATGAACCTTTCCACTCCCGTAAGAGTTACCCTCTTGGAAACCCATAGGGGCACTTTTACCCTGTCACAGATGGTTGCTATGAGTCAGAATTGACTGGATGGCAGTGGGTTTGTGTTTGGTTTTGTTGGTTGATAGTTCCTCTGGGAACTGTTAGACACAGGAGGTCCATACTCAGCCTGAGTCTCAAGGCCCAGTCCTAGCCTCAAGCAGATACCCTAAACAGCTGTGAATTGCAGTCTCCTCAGCCCGTGCTTAGAATACCCAACACAGTGTTCACTTCCATTGCATCAGGGACCTCAAGCTGAAGCATAGCGTTACAAACTTCTAACCCTTTTATGTGGGAAAGATATGTCCCCCACATTTGTTACATTATGCTTGTAGTAATTGACACAGTTTGCATGAGAAACCTGTATGCCCTTTTAAAAAATCATTTTATTGGGGGCTCGTACAACTCTTACCACAATCCATACATACATCCTAACTGTTTTCCTGAGATA